CAATCCAAGGTTAAGTCAGGCACTTGGATGACAAAAAAAAAAAAAAAAAAAGACACAGAACTCTCAGGGTTCACACTGCACGGTGAACCACCTGAAGGAGACATTACTGAAAGTGAAATCGCTCAGTCGGGTCCGACTCTTTGCGACCCCATGGACTGTATATAGCCCATCAGGCTCCTCTGTCCGTGGGGTTCTCCAGGCAAGAATACTGGTGCTGCGGCTGCTAAGTCGCTTCAGTCGTGTCCGACTCTGTGCGACCCCAGAGACAGCAGCCCAACAGGCTCCTCTGTCCCTGGGATTCTCCAGGCAAGAACACTGGAGTGGGTTGCCATTTCCTTCTCCAAGGCAAGAATACTAGAGAGTGTCTAAAGACTTGTGGGCAGAGCCCTTCCTTGGAGTCGTTATTGGAGTTTTTGACCTCTAGGGGGTGCTGTTGTTAGTTAAGTCTCTGAGGAGCCAGATCAGTGGACTGGATCTCATTGCCCTGTGTGCCCCAGGGGCCCTAGGACAGGAGTCTGAGGGTTTTGGTTTCCAATCCAGGTTTGGGCAAGTTGCTCACTTTCTCTGGGTCTCACTTTCATCTTTTATAAAATGGGGATGATGTACTCACAATGTCAGTTGCTGCAAAAGTCAGATGAGGTAATGGAAGTGCCTTTATGAGGTAGAAAGCACTCTGGTAGGATAGAGGCCTTGCATCTTCCGTCTCCATAATGTCACTCAAAGTTTGGGACTTTTTTTTCCTGATAAAGGTGTGTGCCAAGTTGCTTCAGTCATGTCTGACTATTTGCAACCCCATGAACTGAGTGTGTCAGGCTCCTCCGTTCATGGGATTCTCCAGGCAAGATGCTGGAGTGGTTTGCCATTTCCTCATCCAGAGGATCTTTCTGACGCAGGATCAAACTCGCATCTCTTTTGTCTTCTGCATTGGCAGGCGGGTTCTTTTATAAAGTTGTATCTCTAGCCAATGCTAAGGTATATTTGCTATGAATAGGCACCAATAGGATTATTATGGCTTGCTCACAGATGGAAGAAAGAGAAAGGGCAGAGCGAGAAAGAAAGGTTAAGTAAAAGGAAAGGAGAATCTGTCTACATTTCACAAAAGATTTCCTTGGGGATGATATGAATTGAGGTGTTAGCAGTAGAAGACCAGCGGATGAAGCATGGGGGTGTGCACACCCCCAGAGCAGTGTTTCCCAAATGGTGTTCCTTGGAACCCTTGCTCCTCCAGATGTGCTAAAAGATGAGGTCAAATAAGCTTGAGAAAACTCTGAGTTCACCCATTTCTTTATCCTAGTACCCATTAGAGCTTTTAATATGATACTTGCAGATTCCAAGAAAGAGTGGGAAAGACATGGTATGTAGCACTTTGAAAACTTGTTTGACTATAAAATACTTTTGGTTTCTGAATATCTAGATAATATTTCTCAAGGTATGGTTCAGAGACCACCGTCATCTACCTAGTGTGCTTGTTAGAAGAGCAGGTTGTCTGATCTGGTCCAAGATATAATAAATCCAGCAGAAGGGCAAAGAGGAAGTGGGGATCTGCACTTGTGAAAAAAAAAAGAAAAAAAACCAAGTGATTCTTTTTTTTCCCTGATTAAGATCAGTGCATTTATGTAGCATCTAGTATGCACTAAGGATCCACTCTAGATATTGGAGATACATAGTGAATAAGTTACAATTCTGGCCTCATAAAGACTATTATAAGTGAGAATGGAATGGAGAGCTGGGGAGGTAGGAAGAGTGTAGTCTGATCTTGTGATGGGGAAGACTTGAGTGGTTAGGGGAGCTTTCCTAGGCAGTGATGTAAAGTCTGCAAGACTTCACAGAAATGAGTTTGTAACAGCAATTAAGATTGTGAAAATCCCTTATCTAGAAAATGAGCGTGGCATTGTGATTGTCCCATGAAACCCAGTGAATCTTTAGCACATTTCATCTGAGGATCAGCAACATAGCTGGATTGATCTTCTAAGAGAAGCACTGTTGTAAGGTGAAAAACACGTTGACGCGAACTCCTGATCGGGCCACCAGGGGCGCTGTCACCCTAGAGTGGCTTAGTTGTGGGCAGAGGGGCTTGACGCCAGGAAGGATAGGTACTTGAGTTCACCGGTCACATCCTATAAATTGGGAGCCCTTAATTCAAGGAGTATTGATAATACTGTAAGCAGTGCAGTATGTGGTGAAATGAGGGAACTTATTACACCAACAGGAACAGAAAATGTCCATTATTTTCAATTCCTATCTCCTTTGACCTGTCTGCACCATTTGACTCCACGGACTCTGGCTTTCTTCTTGAATGTCTCTTTCCTTTGACTTCTAGGACACAAGTCTCTCATGATATTCCTTCTGTCCTTAATAATAAGGAACATTTACTGAGCACTTACAATAAGCCAGGCTCCGTGCTAAACGGTTTGTATGCATTTTCTCATTTAATCCTCTCATCCCTCTGATATAGATACTGACTGGCATTAATTCTACTCGGAGATTAAGTCTTGCGTGTATATTACACAACTGTGGGAGCTGGAGTTAACCCAGTCCTTGCCTCCCACACTTACAGTGATCCTCACCAGGCTAAACCTTTAGGTTTTAGGTGATATGAACAGTGCCCTTTTTTCCCTGTTTCCTTCTCTGCAGTTAGCTCACTTCCGGGTGACAGCTTCTGAGTGACCCCTGCCCCCAACCTGACTTGACATGAGCTTTGAAACTTCCCTCTTTGAAAGCAGTGACCAACTGTGCCAGAATGGTCTCTTTGCTTGTCTGTTCCCACAGCCAGGCTGTGAGGCCCTCCAAATGCCTTCATATTGTGGCCACCTGCTGTGCTTGGCACATCCTAGAGTCAAAAATGTAAATGGAACAGATAGCCTCCAGAGGGAGTTATTAATAGATACCTGCATACATGGCCATTCCTGAATGAAATGTCACAGGTATTTCAAAACATCCCTTTGAACCTCTGGCAGAGACTGCAAGTGGTGATAAAGGCATTCTTCTTTTCAGTCTTGTAATCCTGTGACTTTGAGTTTAGGAACTGTACTAAAGGCAGAGGGCAAGGGGCCAGTGAAGAGTGTTCTGGTGAGTTGAGAATGTTCACAGAGCTGTGCACATGTCCATTCATACCCCAAACGTCAGGGCTGAGCCTGGACAGGTGGAGCTGATGGTATTGAGCTCTGGCATTCACCCAGGGGTGTAGCAGCCCCCCCCCACCCCCTGCTCCCCCAGATGTGGTCTGGGCAACATTCCCTCCATGATGGTGGAAAGTTTTCAAAGTCCTGGAGGAAAGAAGAGAGAGCTGAGTGAAGGATCTCTGTCCTCAGTTGGTCGTAGAATATGTGTGATGGGGAATGAAACCCAAGAATAGACTGCAACTAGAGGAATATCTCCCCTGGTGGCTCAGATGGTAAAGATTCTGCCATCTGAGATTCAGGCACATTGATGCCTGCAATGTGGGAGACCTGGGTTTGATCCCTGGGTCGGGAAGATCCCCTGGAGAAGGGAATGGCTCCCCACTGCAGTATTCTTGCCTGTAAAATCCCACGATTTTAAAATCGCAAAGAGTTGGACACAACTGAGCGACTGAACAATGACAACAAAGTCCCATGGACAGAGGAGCCTGGCAGGCTATATAGTCCATGGGGCCACAGAGAGTTGGATATGACTGAGTGACTTACACATTCACTTTTCATAGGGATATCAGCCTGCCTTGGGGAAGATGAATGCAGGCCTGCCCTGGCCCTTGAAGTGCAGTTAGCATGGTGTTTTGCTGGTGTTTCTGACTGCTCCCCCTACAAGCTTTTAGGCCCACGTTCTCCAGGATGGTGGCCACCAGCTGTGGGCAGCTGTTGAGCAACTGAAATGTGGCTGATGTAAGTCAGCTACTGGACCTTTAGCTTTATTTAATTTTAATTAATTTAAATAGCTGTATACCGCTAATGGTACTATATTGGGCAGGGAGTGGACATTTCCATTATTCCTAGTTCTGTTGGATAGCGCTGCCCTAGATGGTTTTTGTGCTAATGACGGCTTAGCATCATCAAGGGAGGAATCAGGAGCATTTAACTCATTACATTTTTTAAAATGTTAATCACATCTTATGTGTTAATTTTTTGTTGCACTGGGTCTTCGTAGCTGCACATCAGCTTTCTCTAGTTACGGAGAGCAAGGGCTGCTCTCTAGTTGCAGTGCACAGTCCTCTCATTGTAGTGGCTCCTCTTTTTGTGGAGCACGGGCTCTAGGCCTGTGGGCTTCAGTAGTTGTAGTACATGGGCTCAGTGGTAGGGGCACGCAGACTTCAATAGTTGTGGCGCATAGCCTTAGTTGCTCCTTGGCATGTGGAATCTTCCTGGACCGGGCATAAAACCTGTGTCCCCTGCATTAGCAAGTGGATTCTTATCCACTGTACCACCAGGGAAGTCCTCATTGCATTTCTTAACCAATGCAAGGCTATGGCCAACTCGAAAAAAAGATACACATTTATTCATTCATACACATGTCTATCTCTTTATGTATAAAGTCTACCTACTATGATCTATTTATCTACCTATCTATAGATACCTACCTATCTATCTCCCTTGCTGCTACTGTAGAAACTTTTGATCTCTCCTCTTCCCAGCACCAGATTTAACTCAGGAGTCTATTTTTACTTAGTTTTTGCTATTTTCCCCCTTTACCTTTAAGAGGACATTGACTGACCTCATCGATGGGAATGTTCTCTAAGTGTTGCCAAGGAGCATGAGTGTGTTTTTCTGCATCTGGCATCTCTGAGGGTGCCTAGTTTCCGAGGTGTCTGCCCTGCAGGCAGTGGGGTGTGAATTCACCCCTGGTCCTCGGACCTCTGACTCTGCTGGTAGGGGGAAGATAGTGCCCTGGGATGGCTGAGCCTTTGGCGTCCCAGAAGGAGTCACCCCATCCATCATTCTGGTTGAACTCTGGGAGAGGGTAGTCTCTAATGTCAAGAAAATAACTAACTGATTTCCATAAGTAAAGAGGTTACACATGGCTTTTTAGTTTCAAAGTATTTTATTTAAATAAAATCTTCTCTTGGTGCATTTAAATTTTCCAGGAAAAAAAAAAAACACTGACAAATGCTATACAACATGGACCATTTATATTCTTCTTGAAAAGGTGACTGTCCTTTCTCTATATCTTCCCCTCCTCCCGCCGCCCCCCAAGAAACCCAAAGCGAATCCCTTGAGCAGTTGGGAGAAAGACCTCTTCTGATTGTTCAGAAGTCCTGAGCATGGGGGCTCCTCCTCCAGGCCTGGGCTGGTTTAGGAGGCCTCTCTTTGCCATCCCTTTTGCCCTCTGTTAGCCTATCCCCACCCCCACAAGGTGGCTCCAGTCCTAAGGAAACCCTGGCTGCCAGTGGTAGTTCTGGGACAGAGGGTGGGAAGGAGCAGTGAAGATAGAGAGGGATGGAGCCAGGGTGGTGCCTCGAGACAGAGAGGGGAATGGGAGAAGAAAACAGGGGAGAGGAGGATGACAATGAAGTGGGAAGGAAAGGCAGTGGACTCCAATAATTGCTTTTTGCTTCTTTGACACACACACTTATTCAGCAAAGTCTGAGGGCCTCTCACTCACTGGGCACTGTTCTGGGTACTCCAGTGAAGGTTGTTGAGGAGGCTGGATGGGAAAGAAGAGATGCCCCTTTCAAGCATTTGGCTTTCCAAACCTGGGTTATGGAAGCAACCGAGAAGTGTGTTTCTGGGTGTTCACACCTGGAGGTGGAGCAGATACATTCAGATAGGAGATGGTGGGCACTGCACCTGGAGATAGAGGCCTTGTCGTGGGTGATGACGACGGACTGCTGTCTTAATTCAGACTAGCAGCTGGTTGCCATGACAACTATGGCACTTGTATGGTTCCGTGATCCCACAGATCGGCTCTCCTAGATTGTATCTGACACCAGTTTCAGCCGTCAGCCTCTCCATCCCCCCCAAGTCCTCCATTTGAGGGGCTGCTGAGAGTTGGAGACAATAAGCAACTCAGCCTGCTGGGCAGTGGGAGGTGTGGGGAGATGGCAAGTCATTCTGGGAGGTGTAGGGGAGGGCCAGATGTTCCAGGACAAGGGGACAGAGCGTCAGAGGGTGCTTCTTTCTCTGGTCAAACAGGTTTATGCCTGAGGGGCCTGAGTGCCTGGGGTATTTAGGCCCATTTAGGGCAAGAAGGGGGAACAGGGCGGGTTTTAAAATAAAAGCAGGCCTGCAATATGTTTAACAGGGTATTCCATTAGAAGGTCTTGGTGCAGCAGTTGCCAGCAGGCACCTTACCTCCACAGGACTAGACCTGGAGTTTGCCTGAAAGGCGGGTGACTACCAGCTGCCCCAAGTGAGCAGAGGATATTTTCCAGGAAACAATGTTAGAGAATTTAGCTTTTGCTTCTATAAATATCATAGCTTAGCTATATTATTAATGAAATTGCAATTTCACCATCATTTAGAACAGCTTCAGTCTGAAAATATTTCAAGAGAGCTACCCTGCAGAGGTGCAAATGAACTTTGAGAGCACAACCTGCTCCCACGTGGGGAATTATCCATTTTTGTGCTATGGTCACAGACAATCAACATACCACACAGTTCACCCTGTGAGTGGATTAATTCAGCCTCCCAAACTCAGCCCAGAATGTGGGGAGATGCCCTGCTCAGCTAACCATGGACCCAGCTTACATGTCCTTATGGATCTCAGGGCAAATTGTCAACCCAAACCTTGGCCCTGCATGCATCCTCCTTATTCAGAATTCAATACCCAACTTCCACCTGTTGTAGCAATTAATGGGCTCACTTGGAAGAGAAGGTCACTTGGGGACTTGGTGAGGTATTTCAAGTTTACCCTTAATAGCATCACATATCTGACAGCATCCACAGACAGTTGTGAGTACCGACTGTGTGCAGGGCACTAGCCTGAGCTTCAAGATAAATATTAATAAATCTCTCAATAGCTTCGTCCTACTTTCATTTAAACTGTAACTTCTGCACCACGTCTGCAACATGCCATGCCTCCACGATACCCTTATGTAATTGTTTCCAGTGTGCCTTCTGCGAGACTGTACCAGTGATTGTCTTAATTCCTTCCCTGCTGAAAACCTCTGGGTTCATAGGAGAGCCCTAGCTCAGGGGTAGCATCCCATTTCCATCTGTGAAACATACATTGCACAGGTGCACAATGGCAGTCCACTGAAGTGGACGGCATAAACCTGGCCATGAAGATGGCCAGAAGCCATTTGTTCTTGCTTGGAGAAGGAAGGCTTGCTGGGGGTAGCATCTCAAAGAGAAGTCTTGGATGCCATTAAACACCCATCAGTGGTGATGAGTTGTAAGATGATAGCTTTTGATTTTTCAACTTTTCCTCCCAGGTGAGAGGCCAGAAGCACAGGAACTTGGCATGTCTGTATCAATATATGGGAATGGGGGTATACCAGATGGCTGGAATGTCCAGCTATGAAGATTTCCAGTAAAAGGTTATGTAGGGACAGGAACAGAAGAGCATTCATCTCTAACCTGAGTGGTGTATGGCATTGACAGCACATAGGCTTCTCTTGTTATATAATTGTGCATGTGGGCCTGGATCTGCCAGGCCTTCCTATGAGATGTTTTTCCAAGAGCAGACAATGAACTGCCTCATTTAGGGACTTGTGCAAAGTAGACATTCAGTGACCAGTTGATGAACAGAATATACTTGCCTGGGTACCTGTGGTGTTGTGCATGTGTGCATTTGGGAGATCTGTCAAGAAGTATGAATAAATGTTCCTTGTGCTTTTGCATACGGAATGTGCCAGAGATGGGTGGAAGGCATGCCTGAGTCTGCAGTAAAGAGCATTGCTATTGGACACACAGATGCTGAGAAAGCGCCCAAGACTTGTCCACGTGCTCCCTGGGAAGGCCTGCCCCGAGGGACACTCAGTCTGAGGGTTGCTCCTTAGTTGGGTAGTTCTTCTGTGAACATGAGCACATCACTGCAGGGATTTCTGCTCCCCACATTGGGTGTGGTTGGAAGGCAGCTGAGCTCCCAAGGAAGGACACCGCTGCCCTCTGCCTAGCTAGACAGGCAGGGATGGCCTCTTTTCCATCTGGAGAAGCTTGGGCTGGGCAGAGATCCAGAGGTCTTCTTCAGCCGCCTTCTTCTTCTTCTTCTTCTTCCCCTTGGTTTGCTCTGGCTGTTGGCCATGTTCAGCTGGCCGGTTCCAGCAGCAGTGACAGCAGATGAAGAGGAAGGTGATGATCACCAGGAGGGGCAGACCCAGGAGGATACCTAGGCAGATGCTGTTGAAGAGGCCCTCCTGGTGTTTGGTAGAGATGATGTCCCAGATGGCGCTGAAGAACATGCTGATTTTCTCCATGATGCCTGGCTAGACTGGGCCAGAGAAGCCCCTTAGCTCACCCACAAGGGCAGGATGTGAGAAGATGCAGGCTTGTCCACTTCGAACTTAGTTCTCTTCCAGCTCTGGGTTTGGATAGACCACAGATAGCACCTAAAGAGAGAACAGCAGATCATTTAAGAGAGATGAGGAGGGGATGGTCTATAATTTTTAATAACATCATTGATTTTAGGCTCAGGAAATGGAAGGAAATCAAAGAGTTCCAGAGTTCACTGAAATTGTATTGAGACTCAATAAACAAGATAAATGCATGCATTTATTCAGTTATATATTAACTAATTCTCACTATGTACACACTATATGGGGCTTAGGATATGACAGTTAATAAGATGTCAGACCTGGCACATAGGTAGTCCTCCATGATGGTTAGATAAATCAGTGTGTGCATCCCACAGTGTTCTGGTTAGGGGGTTGGCTCTCCGGACCCTCTACAGGAGTAGTTCTCCACCTTTCTTCATTTCAGCCTACCTGATAAATGATGAACACACACTCCCCACAGGACAGCTCCATATCTGACCTTTCATGAACACAACTTGTCATTTTTAACACTAATGAAAGCTTAAGCACAAGATAGAATGTCCAAGTCTTGCTAGCTGTCATGGGGGCCCTGGACCTCCCCAGGCTAAGAGGTCATCAGTCCTCATCCTGTTTCACTCCTGCTTTTCTTTCATGCTTTCTTCCTGGCCCCGTGACTCCTCCCTCCTTACATTCCACTTTCAGACCTGGCAAGGACTTATCGTGCTGTGGGTGAGAAACCAGGTCTTTCTGTTTCTACCTTTCTCTCCCTCATTACCCTTGTCTCTTCTCCCTGTCCCCCAACCAAGTATTCCCGTCTCCTCCCTGGCCTGTTCCCTCTCTTTGCGGTGAAAAGAGTTTTGCAGGCTGATCAGTGATGGTGCCTGGAAACTGGGAGGGGGTCCCTGGCTGCCTCTCTCCTCTTATCCTGAGCCCAAGTTTGCAGCTGAACAGTTCTGCTTGCTTGTCCAGAGTGATCCCTCTTCCTATAGTACCTTCTCCAACTCACCACATGTATCTCAGGCCTCAGCTCCCAAGTGTAAGATCTTAGAGGAGCCTTCAGTTCTGGAATCCACAGGTTCTTGGGTCTAAACAAGACTCAGAGGACAGGCATGAGTCAAAGGAATTTAAGAGACCTCTTGGCATTAAACATTGTTCAGGAGCCAAAGATTGAAAAGTCATTGATTTTCAGGCTGGAGAGCTTAGAAATCATCCTGACCAGCTGTCTCATTTAAAGATGCAGAATCTGAGGCCTAGAGTGGTGAGGTGACCTGTCTGTGAGGTGACACAGAATCACATGTGTGTTTCTTATCACACACAAAGCTGTGATGAACACCCAGACCTCTGAACAATGGGTCCAGCACTCTCCCAAGGCTGCCGGGCAAGCAGAAAAACTAAGGATAGTAACGTTACTTTATATTTTACTAAGCCGCCTTCATGTGAATTATATCTTTTAAGTGAGGAACAGGATGGTGCATCGTGAGTGGAGGGATGCACTGGGGGGGCCTAGGTCCAGAGTCATTCTGAAATTCAGGCTTCATTGGGTTGTCCTGCACTGGAGCATAAGTGTGTGTGTTACACATCTGGGTGGTATGTTACACACGCTGTCCCAGCAGTTGTGCTTGGAGGTCTAATTCCTTGGATAACATGTACTCTTGGTGTCCCAGATACCCAGTGCCCACGTGTCCATCCAAGCCCCACCCAGGATCTCCATCCTGGTCTGCAGGCATGTGGCCCCACCCCTTCATAACATCATTTATACAGTTTATGTAGTCATATAAATTGGCACCTGCCTCTGTGCCATTGGGCCCAAGGAGCCTGACATCATGCTATAAGGTGGCACTCTTGGGACTCCCCTGGTGGTCCAGTGGTTAAGAATCCATCTTGCAATGCAGAGGACATGACTTTAATCCCTGGTCTGGGAACCTTAAGATACCATATGCTGCAGGGCAACAAAATCCATGCACTCCAGAGTCCACACACTCTGGAGTCCACGCACCACAACGAAAGATCCCATATGGTGCAATAAGACCTGATACAGCCGAGTAAATAAATACATATTAAATAATTATTTTTTAAAAGATGGCACTTATTACATGCTGGGCACTGTTCTAAGTACCTTGCACCTGTCAACTCATTTGGACTTTATCACAAGCTTATGCAATAGGTACAGTTATTCTTCCCATCCTACAGCCAAAGAGATGCAGGCACAGGTCACACAGTGTGTGAGTAGCAGAGCTGGCCCTGAGGATTCTGGGAAGCTTGGCTCCAGATCCCCAAGGGCTGAGCCATTCATAGTGTTGCTCTGGGCCTCCGATTTCTTCATGTGGAATTAACCCATTTTTGGCAAGTAGCCCAGGGTTTATAGAATCCTCTGCCATCCCCCAGATCGACTGAAACATTTATCCCGGTCTGCTGTAGAAAGAGACTACAAAGAGATTTATTTCCCATTGTCAGATACCTCACAGATGCATGAAGATACACACGATAAAAATCCAGTCCTGCCCAAGGGGAGGTTTATAGAAAGCATACTGGCATCTGAACTTAAACTCAACGTGAGACAAAGATGAGCACCCTGAGAAGTTATGTGTCCTCGCTGCAGGCTTTGCCTGAGCCCCTCCAGCATCTGAAACATCACATGCCATGGATTTGCCCACACGCCAACAACTGCCCAGGTTCTTTAGAGAGGAAAACCACGCTCGGCCTCCCCAGGCCCCTCAGCGGGGCCAGCCCCCCACCTATTCCTCCTCACACCCCTCTGGATTCTCCTCCTTTTGCCATAATCTTTGCTTTGACCTCAGCCATGTATCGCCCTGTTTTTTTGGCCCAGAGGGATTTTTCTCTTCTGTCGTAGGAAGACTTTGGGTGCCTTTCTCTAAGCTGATCCTTCCTGCACATACGGTTTTGAGAACCAAAGGCTCCTTGCACTGCGTTTCTGTGATTCAAATTAGACGGTAGCAGACCACACTTACTGACAAGCTCTCCTGTGCTGATCTCTGTGGGGAGCCTCTGTGAATCAGGGCGCACTCTGGGTTCGGTTGGAGAGAGAAGGTCTTGGAGCTCCTGGAGGATAGTAGGACAGTATTCGTGAAAGTTGAGCTACTTGCCCTTGAGAGACAAGTAGGCTCTTGACAGACGTGAGAAAAAGATGTCAAGATCCCAGGCAGAGAAACTTCTGGAACATCAGTAGGAGACTAGGGGACCTTCTGATGAGCTTGGAACTCAGGGTGGGAGAGTGAAGGACTGTAGGCTGTGGCCAGGTTAGAGAGGACCTTCACAGGGTGTGTTTCTTTGCGGGGAGGGGCTCTATAATGGGCTTCCCAGGTGACGCCAGTGGTAAAGAACCCTCCTGCCAATTTTAGGAGATGCAAGAGATACCAGTTCGATCTCTGGGTTGGGAAGAACCCCTGGAGAAGGAAATGGCAACCCACTCCAGTATTCTTGCCTGGAGAATCCCACGGTCAGAGCCCTGGCGGGCTTCAGCCAGAATCCCAGCCCTGGTGGGCTACGGCTCTTGCAGTCACAAAGAGTCAGACGTGACTGAGCACACAATAGGAAGATGTTGTGATCACAGCTGCCCTTCAGGGAAAGATAGGAGGGTCTGAAAGCTCTGGAAGATGTTTCAAGAGCGCACTTCAGCCATTTAGCAAACATTTATTGAGCACCTGATAGGTACCACAAACTGTTTGGTATTGAGGATTCAGGAATGAATGACAAAGAGATAGTTTTTGATATCATGGAGCCTCATACATTTCACGGGACTCACTGTCATCAAGGGATCATGTCAATAGACAAGAAGCAGCAGCAGATTCCAGTTTAGGTTGCTTAGTTGGATGAAATAAAAGCATGCCTTTGAATTATGTCTTTATTTCAACATTCCAGGCCCTCCCACCCCTCCCAACTGTGGCTCAAACTCATCCATCCCATGGCACCTGAAATAGCCATGTGAATAAACAGATTTCTTTTCAAGCAAAAGCAAAGTCAATAATAGCTTCTGGATTCTTAAAGGTACTTATTTGAGTCTACTCTCCATATGGCCAAAGAGAATATTCATTAACACTTGGGAACCCTGTCTGGGGAACATTCGATTAAAAGGTATTCTTTATATTTTTTAACCTAAGAATTCTCTTCTAGGCAACCCCCGCCCCCCAGGTTACTTGCTGAACTCTGCTAATCTATAGCATTTCATTAGTATTTATGAGCTTTGCATTATTAGCATTTCCAGGAAACAATCAAATATCTCCTTGGTGGTATGAATTAAAAAAGTCAGAGCTTCTGTGGAATGTTTTTGCAAAAGGAGCCACACTTCGGCCTAGAAATGCCCTCTGGGAGACCCCACCCTTTTGTCAGCTCTCAAGTGTTGCTGACACTGAAAAATAATTCATCTCTTCTTGTAAAACCGACAATAAGTGCTAACCAAACTTGATTGTGGTTGTGGGGGTGGGTGTGAGGAGAGAGAAGAGGGGAGAAGTTCCTTTCAGTTTTCCTGAAACCAAGTAGTATTCATCTCTATATCCTCCTTAGTATTTAGCCGGGAGAGAGTCATTCATTCATTCTTCCCACAAGCTTCTGTCTGCCTGCATGTGAGGTATTGATGGAGAACAGAGATCCTGGAGCCAGAAGACCTGGGGGTTTGAGTCCTGGGTTAACTCTTGTGACCTTGGCCAGTTACCAAACACTAGCTACAAAATGCAGTTAATAAGCTTCCCTTGTAATGAGGTTGTGAAGATTAAGAGCTCAATGTGTTTAATGCATTTTGTAAACTGTACAACACTATGAAACATAATCTACAAAGTAGTGAGTGAACTCCAGATAACAATGGACTAATTCTAGCCTTGAGATTTTTCTTCCCCGTCTCTCACCTCTAGCCCAATCTTCATGGCCAAAGAACCATGGACCCCTACTCCATTCAAATGAAAATGGCGTCACAGCGACCTCCCTGCTTAGGGCTGATCAGCAGTTCTGTGACTGTAATTCTAGACTCTGGCTTTCAGCAACAGGAATGGAGAATGGTCATTGGGGAACATCTGGTAGTGTCTGGAGGACTGTTGAGCTCATAAAATGAGGCCCGGGGAGAGCACCTAGTCCCCTGCAGGCCCCAGCCTCTCCTCAGACTTCGGAACCCCTGAAAATGTACAGGGATGGCTCCTGCCACAGGGATGACTGGTCCATCCCTGCCATCCAAGAGCTGCTCCAGAGTCATGTCCAAGGCTGGCCCACAGACTTCTGTTTCTTCTGGAACTCTCCAAGAAAGGGGCAGGGCATTCTCCTTTGCACCAGCCTCTTGTTATTTCTGTTAGGTGAAATAATACTTGTAAAGCTGGAGAATAGGGTCTGTTGGGTAGCAAATGCTTTCTAGAAATGTTAATGATAAGGATCATAACAGCATCCAACTAAAATCCCTGAGACCTTCTCCAGAGTGCTTTCCATTGGCCTTCTTATAACAGGTAGGGTAAAGCAGGAGGGTCAGGTCTGTCTCAGAACCTTAAAAGATTCCGCTGCTGCAGCTGCAGACTCCTGAGTATGTGTGTGGGCCATCTCATCATTGTAACTTGGGGGCACAGGGGCAGAGACCTTGCCTTGGGCCTTTCCTCGCATGTTCCATTGAACCCATACTTTGTGTTGCAGTGATCATTGTGTTTGCGTTATGTCCTAACCCATGGATCTCAGGAGACAGCAGGATCTCAGGAGGGCAGCCCTAGTCTCCTCTCCAGTCTCTGACTCTGGCCATGATGGCTGGCTGAGAATCATCAAGGGAGTTAAAGATGCAACTGCCCGAATTATACTCCTGGAGACTCTGATTCAGTAAGTAGGTCTAGGAAACGCCCAGAAATTTGTTTATAACAAACAACCCAAGTGTTTCTGGACAGTTATCAGGTTCAAAAACTGCTGAATGAGCAGGCTGAGCTGATGACCCTTTTCTATACTCTCAGGAGCTATATGCTGAATGAGAGAATGGATGGATCATGGGCAAGGAGAGGTGGGGAAGAGGTTCATCCTCATATGCAGCAGACCTGAGGCCTGCTGTGGGCAGCCTCTTTGGGTGTCACTTCTTGCTCTTGTGTAGTCAGGGCATCTGGGCCAGAGCTGCTTTCCTAGAGGTCGTTATTGTTGTTCATTCACCAAGTCACGTCCGACTCTTTGCAACCCCATGGACTGCAGCAAGCCAGGCTTCCCTGTCCTTCACTCTCTCCCTGAGTTTGCTCATGTCCATTGAGTCAGTGATGCCATCCAACCATCTTATCCTCTGTCGCTGCCTTCTCCTCTTGCCCTCAATCTTTCCCAGCATCAGGGTCTTTTCCAGTGAATCAGCTCTTCCCATCAGGTGGCCAAAGTATTGGAGTTTCAGCTTCAGCATCAGTCCTTCCAATGAACATTCAGGGTTGATATCCTTGAGGATGGACTGGTTGGATCTCCT